GCACACCTGCTTCTGGAAGATGCTGCTCCTGCTCCCTGCCTGGACACGTGCTGCAGAACTGGGTGCACTGGGGAGATCATTAGTGCAGGCCCTTGAGCAATTAAGTCACGGCTGCTGACCTTTCTGAAGTCAGCTGATCAATCTGCAGCACTCTCCTAAAATTGCAAGTGCTGTTTATTGCTAAATAATTTACGTAGTTTCCTAGCAAACTGTCTGCACAGTTTATGTTTATAAAATGAACTCTCCCACATGGACTGTTTTAACACACCCTTGGGATCTCTTCAAACCAACAGCCCTCCACAGTCATGCAAAGGTTAAAATAAGGTTAAGTCAGAGCATTTAAATTCAGCAGAACAGTATACTTATTCAAACGCCCTTGCCTGAAATTATGCATCAGCCATGAGAGTGGCAGCCGTGTCTAATCGGTGTAGAAGCAGACTGGGACCAGCAAACACCCGATGTGCAATCTGAGCTCATCAAGCCCTTCTCAGATCTTGCCTTCCTCAAAAGGAGCTGGAGACATTCCCTTCAAGTGGGACAACATGAACTCACCACTGGCTTGGGTGGGGGAAAAAAAAGACATATCCTGGTCTGTTTTAATGATCCTGAAGCCAGAAATGAACCACCAAAATGTTGGCTGATGGAGAGAGGAACTATAAAGCTCCTCAGTAAGAGCTTTAATGCCTTGTGTAGATTTTATTCTGAGACAGGATTAGAGAGGGCAGGGGAGGGAGGAAAAAGGAGCCAGAGGCACGAGGGAATTTGGAGCAAGGCATCTGAGAAGAGCCTTGGGGAGCAGAGGAGGGGGCTGTAGGTCGCAGCAGGAACACAGCTACCCACCAGTACTTGGAGTGCCACTGCTGCTGCCTGCACCTGGCCACAGCATGGAGCAACATTGCAGCTCTCCACACCAGGACCATGTGATGCTCACAGCAGTGCTGCAGCAGCAGTGGGGAAGGATTGCAGCTCACAGTAACAGCTGGGTTCCTGCTCCAGGGTGAGTCTGGAGCAAGCCATTTTCGTTGTGCCACTCTGCACATCAAGAGATATTTACCACTGACCTCAGGTTCAGCAAGCTCCAACCACTAGATCAGAGTCCAAGCAGACAAAGCGAGACACAAGGTCAGGGTTTACATCCTGTCGAAGCTGTAAACTCAGCGCAGCCTTGGGCGAGTCACTCAGGTCTCTCATATGTCACAAGCCATACAGCCTAGCAAGTCCTCTTTCAGGAGGGAGGTGGTGGAAAAAAACGAAAGCTGAAGGTCGAGTTTAGCAGTTTCCCAAGGAGTCACTTATTCCAACATCTTAAAGACTCACACAGTGCTGTACTTTGCTGTTCTCCATTTCCTCCCTGAAGCGTTTCATCCACCAGAGCCAACACACGCGGCTGTTCCCAGCTCCGCACCTCTATGCCCCAAGCACCACATGAGATCCCTGCTCAGAGCAAGGTGATGCTCAGCACCTCATCCTCAGAGATAAACAACTCAAAAACCCACAAAAGCACTGAACGTTTCTTTAGTTTATTGACAAAACAAGCATCTGCTTTAGCAAAGCACTGAGTGCTCACCCTGATGTTTGAGAAATAAAGCAAGAACTTTTGGAGTTTTCTAGCTTAGCTCTAATTTATTTTTTAAAAGAAAGTTTCAAATTTTTGAAAGTTTCTTATTTTTGGTTGGATGGTTGCAATTATTACTTAGCACTTTTTGGTGTTGTTGCTACTTTATAAATGTAAATTCTGCTGAGCTTCAGACAGACAATACATCCCCAGGCTCTGGTTGTATTATCCATTAGACACAATGCAGTTTGGTTTTTAATTTTTTTTTTCCTTACTGCTTATCCCTTATTCTCAGTCTTAAGAGGAAAGCAGATATGAAGTGCTCTTTCATTTGACCCCCCCCCCTTTTTTTTGAGACAATTTTAAGAATACTAATAAGGAAAATATATATATTTTTAATACTATCTTAAGAAAATTAAGCTTACCGGAATTCTCACTTCTCATCTCAGCCAAGACATGGTTACTACAGATGACATCGCTAAACCTCATAACATTGCATGAATGCAGAAAAATCTCTTTTCCTAGGCTCTGCATATGTGTAGTGATAACATGGGATCTTGAAATTCGTAGCAACCACTTGGGTCTTCCTATTCATCTTTGGCTGCTGTGGGAGTGTTCTTTATTATACATTTTTCAGTGTCTTGTCTGGTCTAGTTTTAAACGTGCCAGACACTGAACTACTGCCACATGCCCCGGGAGACCATTTCATAACACAATACATCTCTCTGTCAGAAGTTTGGCTGATAGTTGATCCAAGTTTTCTTTTATTTCATGACTTCACTTCTCCATTACACTTGCTATCTGCAAATAATTCTTGCCTCCCCGGTGATTCTTTACTCATACACCACACTGTATGATCCTAAAATTTCTGTATAATTATTTGGGCTCATAACTATTTTGTTGCCTTCCTCTGCATTCTTTTATCAGGAACACATTAACTAACAGGGAGTGAGATGTTTGAAATTAGAGGTGTTCTCTGTGTAGCAGTGCCTCATTGGAGGAGTACAAAAAAAAAAGCAATAAGAATCCAGAATAATGGAAGATCTAAGGAATTTATTTCTCAATATAAGAAGACCATGGGCTTTAATTAGAAGACTTTGTGATCCAAAATTTCTTGGAAATATATCAGCTTAGACAAGCCCTTAGGAAAGTCAGTCTGTGGTCAAATCAGACAGATTCAGCCACTCCAAAATAGCCAAAAGTTGTTTTCCCAGATCAGCACTCCATTCCAATGTGCTATGAGATTTACACTATGTCATTGCACATATACCTCTAACTCCTAATAGGTTTGTTTTGCTTTGTTTTTTGTCTTCCTAATTTAATATAAATAATTGTTCCTTAATCCAAGAGGGATGTAACATAGCCCAACACACTGCCCAGCCAAGGGGATAGTCAGGTTCTGTTCTCTGTTTGAATCAAGCAGACTTAAATGTTAAATGAGTACCATCACTAGCTGGACTCAGCTAATCTGGAATGAGACTTGATACACAACACAGAAGTGCAAGTTAGCATCAATCAGACTGAGCACAAACCTCTGGCATCAGAGAGAGCCCCCACTGCTCAGGGCTGGCTGCAGCTGCAGTTGTGTGAATAATGGCATGGGGAGAGATTGTTCCTGAAAGAAAAGTTAATAGATTGCTACTCTGAAGAACCAGTTGTGCTGCTGTCTCCCCTGAAAGCTGTTGGAATTAACACAAAAAGATTTCAAGATATTTTTGATAACAGCATCAACAAATTCTTCCTGAGGGCCTTTTTCTGTTAGATTCAACCACCACAGGTCATAAGTATTTCCTTAAGAGGAAGCCTGCAATTAACAAAAAACATCCCTGAATCCCATGTTTATTTATTGTTCATTTTTAGCTTACCAAGGTTCAGAAATGATAACATATGCCTTCAGTGACTAACTGCCACAAAAAAAAAAAAAGTAAATCGAATACAAAGAACACTCTATAAGCTGTTGTAAAATACTTCCAGATAATAAATCCTGAAAAGCCAGAAATAATTTGCATTAAATTACCCCCCCCAAAAAAAAAAAAAAAATAGAAATCTCAGCCAATAATTCAGCAACATCTACTTTGAACCTGGAGTCTTGTGCATGTTTGTAAACTTAGTGCACTTTCCAGAGAAAATACTTTTTTCTTTTAGTCTTTTCATCCTCTTGACTTCAGTTCAGCTGATAGCCCACACCATCACAACTACTTTAGCTACATTAGCTCACTCGTGTAATGTCACCTCCTGTTAGTACCAGGCAGTGAAGAAAAAAAAAGACATGACATGATGTAATACTACATGGCCTTGCTGAATGTAATGCAAGTTGTCAGAGGATTGTAGGGATAGGCTTTAAACGGAAAAAGGAAGATCTATTTGTGATGTAGTTAGTGAGGAGCAGGCCTTAAGTATCTCAAATTTATCCTGCAATATTCCCCAGGAAACCACACTTTTCATTGACTATGTGAAACTTTTATGAGCTTCATTCTTCCAATCTTCCATATTTATCTTTTACTCTACACAAAATAAAACCAGTTTTCCCCTACTTTCACACAGCTCCATGACTTTCTCACAAGGAATTCCAGTCCCTATAACCAAAGTCTGGAGTATGAGAAGTTCAAACAACAAGCTTCCATCGAGTCTCCCATGTAGGGCACTCAATGCAATAACTGTCCCTGACATGAAAAGCTTGTAATAGAGAGCCTCAGACAACACAGAACGCACCCTGCAAACTGCACATCAAGAATTGAAATAAAAGCAAGCTAAGGAGAGGCTCCTCTGCTTTCCTCCCTGGGATTTCTTTCACTCCAATGAGACCCCATTTGTATTAAGGTACTATTCAACAAGGAAAATGGCCAAGCCTCAGTGCAGATCACCTGTAGGAAGGGTTGTTTAATTCACGGTGAGTAAATGCAGCAGCGTAGCCACAGCAGAGAAAAAGAAGTTTTAAGAAACTGGAGACTCTTTTAAGCTAATCAACATCTCAAAAGTTCAGCGTTGTTAATTTAATGAGTAATCTAGAACAATAGTTCTGTTAGATATTGAGTGAAGTGTCTTAATTGGGAATATACCATTACTTCTCATTTCTTCTTATTTAAGCTTGATTTGCAATGAGGATTGGAAGCACCTCGCCTACTTCCCTTACTGAAACTTTGGAATCATAACAGCAAGCAAGTTTAAGGTTCAAATTAAGATAAAGAAGGAAAAGAAGAAAAAATGGATGGAAAAAAAATCAGAAAAATCTTCAAATGATAGGCCTAGTGAAGTACTTGCAGACCTTGTTAAAATTTGATGTCAAATATATAAGCTACTAATGAGACTTCCCATTTGCCACTTTTGCAGAGAACATGGGGTGGTTCAGCAAGCCTACAGCACTCTGCTCTCCATGTGCAAACCCAGTGAATTAATCTGTCCATGAACAGAAGCTGGCAGTGTCCAGGAGCAATTAAACACTTACTTTCTCGTTTCACTTGAGAGTACTGTATCCTTCAGCTTGAGATGCTCCGAAGTTCACAGACCAGATTCAGGCTTCTGATTTTGACACCAATCCCTTGGCCCACCTGGCACTTTGTTCTGATCTGCAAACCTGTAAAGCAAAAATGAGAAAGGAGATTAAACAAATGCTCAGTTCTGAAATGTCTTTGAGTTGGAAAAGCATTCTGGAGAGATAACAATAATCAAATACTTTCTATTTTCATCTCCCTGATTTCACTGCCTTTAGGATGAAGAGCAAGTCAGTTTCTGTGCTGTTGCCCAGGATTTCTTTTCACTGCCAAAGGGATTTATATACATGTAAGAGTTTCAAGGAGTATCTCCTGCTACACAGCCTTTTAATCTGATGGTTATTTTTTTACCGTGGTCATCAGTCCATAATGACACCACTAGTTTGTAGGGACAAAGCTATAACTGAGACCCATGTGATGCTTGCATGTGGAAATAATACAACTTTCTATAAGCGCTCATGCAGTTGGAAGTTACATGCATGCTTTTCTTCAGAGCAAGCAAGTCAAAAGCAATTTGTCTGACTAGAGATATTGATCAGACCCAAAGAGACGACAGCTGGGTAACTGAGGAGTAGGGCCAGGATGTCAGTATGAGAAGAGATGTCTCCTGCTGAAAAGTGGCGATAGGTACTTTATCATCTGTGGAACACAAAGTGGTTAGTGGAGCAAAGGAGATGCAAAGTCATAGTCGATGGGTGTTCACCTCCATCCCTTCTAACTGTTGACTTCTGTGCAAAAGCTCCATCTTCTCACCAGCCACATTCATTCGTGTAACATACAAACAAACAGAAAACAGAAGTAGCTAGCGCTCCAGCTAATAACAGACTGATGTATCTACTCCTACCACATGCAATCGAGATTTGAAATTACATAGCTCTCATATCTCTGATGAAGATGATAGAAATTGAAATGCTACTTTGGGGTTTTTTTATATTCTTATTTCATAGCACAGTTGCATGAGACATTATCTGATAACATCAGCACCCCATCCCCACCTTTCACAGAAAAGGGGTTGTTAGAGGCTTGATGACAGAGCGGAGATCCCTGCCCTTGCTTGCATCTCATTCAATTTCAAGTGTTATTCCAGATCACTGGCAGTCACACTGGCGTGAGGCAGCTGCTGCCCCAGGGTTGTGCGATGCAGGTGCTTACAAGGCTTCTGTACAATGCAGGCTAGCCCGGGAAGCCCTCAGACTGCAGCATGCTGCCTACTGCAGTGGTATGAATTTTTTAAATAGTAAGCACTCTCTAATGAACGAATCAAAGTTGAACCATTCAGACGTTTACATCCCCTCATATACGTAGAAATACCCACCATCACCTCATCAAAGTTCACCTGTAGAAGATACAACATGCTATGCTCTCAAATAGAGCAACAGCCATTTTGCGAGAAGATTTTTTAAAAAATCATAGATTACAATGCTTTTTATATTTTTTCTGGCAACTCCACAACTTCTGTGATAAACATCTCCACAGTGCTGAGATTAGAACTGGCTAAGATTTCTGAAGACAATGGGTGAGTTTGGGTGCATTACAGGAGTCCCTGAAAGAGGGGAATGCTTTTCATAGAATGCAGTTCCCTCCTCTCTGCAGTTTGAGTCTGTTAAGCCAAGCAACTTGGGTCACCAATCACCCTTCAAAATCCTGGCTGTTCATCACCACAAAACGCATTTCCATGAAGGGAGGAAAGGCTTTAGCATCAAAAATATGTAAATATACCCAATAAATTTGTTCCTAGGATGTGTTTTTTAAAGTCAGAAAACTAACTGTTACTGCCAGCCTCTTTGCAGGGGCTGTAAGAGATGATCATTTTCCCTTGTAATGGTTCTGACATAAAGTGTGTATCAAAAACTGCATACTCTTCATATCCATCCAGCTGTGTTGAGCAATAAACATGATAATTATGCAGATAAGGCTTAAATAAATTCCTATACCTAAGGGCAGCTGAATGCTTTTTTAAGCAAAACAATAATTAACCCTCCATAGGGCTGAATGAGCACAGACCTTTGCTCCTTCCTAAGGTAGGAAACCTGTGTCTTGGCACCTCCCAGGCGTCTGTCACAGATATAAACGGGTCAGCGTACTTCAGAGGAAACAGCTCCAGGGCTGTTCCTTGGGAGGTTCCCAAAAAGGTCAACAACAAGATATACTTGCTGCTATGTCTTGCCTCTGGGATTTGAGGTGTCTTTCAAACAAATGTCAGAGGAATCACAGGTGATGAGAGAGAAGAGTGTAAACTTCCAGTGGAAGTACTTGCAGAAGAACAAAGAGGAGGTATGAGATTGGCAGTAAACAAAGATCCTTGCAGTAAACTCAGAAGCCCAAGGGCTCAGAAGTACGATCAAGCTATTGCAGTGTAATGAGCTAGCACACATTGGTTGATCTGCAGTAACTGCTCATATGCACACTCTTAGCTCACAACAAATATGAAGATTTGTTTATCTTAACCTCTTTCATTAGGTTGAGGCTAATGTGTTTTACTTTGGATCTGTGACAAGCCAAGCATCTGTACAAACTGTTACTGCTTGAAGGAGCCTGCAGACCATGTTGATCTGAAAGGATAAACAGGACCAGTTCCTTGTCTTATATGGCCAGTCACCACCTTACTGAAATGCCTTTGTGGCTCTCCTCACCATCATGTGTGACTATTTCAATCATAAAATATTTTGGTATAGACTTCATTTTCATACAAAAGGAAAATACTGCCTGTTATTTTCAAACATAGTGTAGAATTAAAAGGCTTGCCCAATGCCAGACTGTCCCCCATAACAAATGAAAGTAATAAATCCTACACGCATTTGCTTCCCCTCCTTTTTTCATCATTCTTGGCCATTCTTTAGCCTGAGACTAAACACTGAAAGGAGTCCAAAATTACCTCCATCCATATAGCTTCAGGCTTTAAAACCAGCAGAAGAAACATGGGAACTGCCATAATGGTTATGTGCTCTTGGGGTCTAACCAAGTATCTGAGAGTCATCAGCTGCAGATGCACAGAGAAAAGGACTAAATTCATCTTTCTATGATTAGGAACTGGGAGAAGTCACCAGTCCCAGAAAATTCTGCAACACTGTGCTTATTAGTCAATGCATTTTCCTTCTGCAGTGTTTCCCAATGGGTTTTGGAAGCCATCCAAACTTTTTATCCCCACCAAATCACAGGGCAACAAACTCCACAGTTTTGTTCTGCACTATGTGGAAATAATGCTTCTTATGAGTTTTTAAACCCTCTCAATGATTTCAGTACTCCCTAATTCCCTTGGTAAGAAAACCAGTGACTAAACCTCTTGCACTGCCTCCCCACCACTCATGGCTTTCCAGCTGGCTGCTGGAGCCACTTCGCAGCACTGACCCACTGCAGCCTTGCCTGGAGGGATAGTGCCAGGAACAGGGGACAGGTGGTGGGCTCTGAGCTGGGACTGCTCTTGAATCACTGAGAATATGGAGCCATGGCTCCTATTTAACAAATATCCCTGATCAGACCTGCAAAAATTTCTCAGCTCTATGCCAAAAACAAACAAACAAACAAAAAACTTTCCATGTGGCTCACTCATGGCAGCACCACTGCTGTCTGTCACTCTCATCTTGGTAATATCCCTGCAGTATTGAGCTGAGGACAAAGACATGACCAGACCCTCACTCTGCAGTTTGCTGACTTACCTATAAATTTTGAGCAGAGACATAATCCTCTCATACTCCAGAGGGAGGTTTTAAACCATATGGAAAGTTTCCTGCTCCCCATTACATTCTTGAACTCTTTCAAAAGCCTGTTTCTGCAGACCCCCTGTTGACTCCATCTATTCGAAGGAGGTCTCTGAAGCCATGTCATGCATAAGGAACCCACATCCCAGGGGAGGGTGGAAATCCAGCACAGCCTCTGTTGAGAAGCCAAGGCACAATTATTATGATTTCAGCAGAGGGCTAGCTGTCCTGAGGAGTGCCATGCTGTGACAATGAGTGAAACCCCTTTCAAATCCATTTTTCAGAGCCTGACAGTTCTGTCTCAGCCTGCAAGGATGAATCAGACATCCCAGCAGGCTCCTGGGGGCACAAAGGGAGAAGTGCCTCAGGTAGTTTGAGTGCAAGTCAGTCTCTGCCTGTACCATCTGCAAAAGAAATGCTTAGCACTAATGTCATCTTTACAGCTATTCTGGCTTTTCCCCTAGACAGGTGTCCTGGGGCTTGCTGCTTCTCCCCAGCTGGGTCTCTGAGGTTTCACATAAGAATCTAGAATACAGACAATTCAGCCTGGGAGAAAACCCAGAAATAACATTGGCAGCCTTTTATCAGATTCCCAAATAGCAGAGAAGAGCATTTCCCTCGTATAGACTAGAATATTCCCTACACCCCCATGGAAATATCTTTAGCAGTGATAGGAAGCCTACAGACTTCATTAAAAGTAAAGCTGAGACAGCCTTATAAACTGTAAAAAATAAAAAATAAAATACTCTTCTTCAGGACTCATCTGAACAGCAGAAGAAGATAGAAGAGTCTGGGTGAAAGAATAACTTCAGACAGAAGAACTGAGGCCTAGAGAACGTACTATCAAAGTCCTACCTCTCACTGTGCTGGGATCTACCAACACCACCGAACTCTAGCAAGTAGCGTATTGAGTTAGTCTTTGCACCTAGAAACTGTTAGCTGATAGAAAAGAGAAGCTAAAGGACAGAAATCCCCATCTTTTGTAGATGCACTGGTTTCCTGTACTTCCATTTGGATTTCGGTTCCCCGCTGTGGCCTACACCAGGCAGCCCTTCCCCTCTCACTGCCCTGTACAATTTCTTCCCCAGCTCGTCAGAAGCCTTGTACAGACAACTCGCTGCCAAAGCACATTACTTAGCAATTTTCTGCTTTAAGCCACCTTGTGCTCATCTGCCTGGACTCAGGCCATCCCCCCGTGTCTCCCAGCAGCTTTCAGTCATATGTGCCCACCATCTGACCCCCTGGACTCCTCTCCTCAGCTCCAGGAGCAGGCTACACCTCAAGCCAAGTGGCGTTGAACTCCAGCCCTTCCAAAGGGTTTACACTGCCCAACAACAGATGGTAGAGCACAACTTCTAACCAGCATGAAAATGATGTTTTTCCTC